GATCACCACAGACTGTGACTGCAGCCATGAAATTAAAAGACGCCTGCTCCTTGGGAGGAAAGCGATGGCGAACCTAAACAGCATGATAAAAAGTAGAGACATCACCCTGCCAGGAAAAGTCCGCATGGTCAAAGCAATGGTATTCCCAGTAGTCATGTATGGCTGCGAGAGTTGGACTATAAGGAAGGCCGAGCGCCGAAGAATAGATTCTTTTGAACTATGGTGCTGGAGAAGACTCTTGAGAGTCCCTTGGACTGCAAGAAGATCAAATCAGTCAATCCTAAAAGAAATCAACCCTGACTGTTCCCTGGAAGGCCAGATAATGAAACTGAAGCTCAAAGACTTTGGCCCCCCAATGAGAAGGGAGCACTCCCCGGAGGAGAAGACCCTGATGCTGGGAAAGATTGAAGGTCAAAGAAGACGGGGACGGCAAAGAATGAGATGGTTAGACAGTGTCATAGATGCAACGAACATGAAGTTGAGCAAACTTCAGAGGACAGCGGAAGACAGGAGGGCCTGGCGGGATCTGGTCCATGGGGTCGCGAAGAGTCGGACTCAACTGTGCAACTGAACAACAACAACAATGATGGTCTGGGCCTGGCTGGGGCGATGGCACACGTGCCCAAAGAGAGGGCTCTGAGTGCCACCTCTGGCCCCTGTGCCATAGGTTCGCCACCACTGGCCTAGTACCCTGTTTCCAACAGAGGACAGTCAGCTGCCACAGGGGAGCCCATACGCGGGGCCCACGGAGAGCATCCTTCCCCTGTTGACTGATCCCCAGCATCTGAGGATATTCTGTCTCTGAATCTGGAGCTGAATCCATTTAGCTATCAGAGCTAATAGCTAGCAAGAGACCCGGAGGTGGAAAGCAGTGGCAAGTCTCAGACGACTTATGAAGGCCCTGTAGGGTTTTCGAGGCCAGAGACCTTCAGAGGTGGTTTGCCCTTGCCTGCCTCTGCACAGCAACCCTGGGCTTCCTTGGTGGCCTCCCATCCAAGTTCTCACCGGGGTCGACCCTGCTTAGCTTCCCCGATCTGATGCGATCAGGCTAGACTGGGCCGTCCAAGTCAGGGCAACAATAGACGTCCCTTCCATAAATCTGCCCCCATTTAGGCCCATCTAAGCCAATGGAAGGAGCTGCGGTGGCTCAAGTGGTTAAGACGCTGAACTGCAGGCTGTGGAAGGTCGGTAGTCCAGCAGTTCGAGACCCGGGTGCCGCATGACGGAGTGAGCTCCCGTCTCTAGTTCCAGCTCCTGCCAACCTAGCAGTTCGAAAGCAAGAAATTGCAAGTCTTCATTGATTATCATGTACAAATCCCAGAGGCATTCCGTGGCTCCAATAATAACATTTTTTTTTTTGCCATTAAGTTGCAGGCAATTTATGGCCACCCTATAGGGGTTTCAAGGCAAGGGACTTTCAGAGGTAACTTGCCATTGCCTGCTTCTGAGTAGCAACTTCCAATGTTCCCTCTAAGCTGTAGAGTCCTGTGAGCAAAAATTCTACTTTGTGAGCTACTGGCATTAAAGTTGTGAGCGAGCGATTTGGCTGCTGCATCAATTAGTCCCTGATGTCCAGAGGGGGTGGGGACTGGCCAGTTGCCTGTCATCTGGAGAAGGGGGAACGAACCCACCCCTCCATGCATTTTGTGTCTGTCTGTCTGTCTGCCTGCCTGCCTGCCTGCCTGTCCATCCGTCCGTCCGTCCGTCCGTCCGTCCGTCCGTCCGTCCATCCATCCATCCATCCATCCATCCATCCATCCATCCATCTATCCATCTATCCATCTATCCATCCA